ACGTGTGGACGAGGACAAGAAGCAAACACACTTGAGCTGACACGGCCGGGAGGGGGAGGGGGGCGAGACTGGCATTTACGATGCCACGGCTGACACGAATGACTTATTGAAGGTCAGGAAGGCACTTACTGAAGCAGGACGCGGAGTGGGTCCTCAAGGACGATCTAGATCTCACACACACACACACACACACACACACACACACACACACACACACACACACACACACACACACACACACACACACACACACGTGTGGGACACACAAACCCCGACAGATGAGGATTGTAGGATCCTCCAAGAGGATTTGAACAGGTTGCAAAGATGGTCAGAGAAATGGCTACTGGAGTTCAACACGAACAAATGTAAAGCTATGGAGATGGGACTAGGTAATAGGAGACCAAAGGGACAGTACACAATGAAGGGGAACAGCCTACCTGTGACGACGCGAGAAAGAGACCTGGGCGTGGACGTAACACCTAATCTAACTCCTGAAGCACATATAAATAGGATAACGACAGAGCGTACTCTACACTGGCAAAAGTTAGAACATAATTCAGAAACCTAAGTAAGGAGGCTTTTAGGGCGCTTTACACTGCCTACGTGAGGCCAGTCTTACTGTATGCCGCCTCATCATGGAGTCCCCATTTGAAGAAACATATAAGGAAACTGAAAAAGGTTCAGAAGTTTGCAACGAGACTCGTCCCAGCGTTACGTGGGATGGGGTATGAAGAGCGCCTGAAGGAACTGTGCCTTACGACACTAGAAAAAAGAAGGGACAGGTGGGATATGATAGGAATGTATAAAATACTCAGGGGGATTGACAGAGTGGAAATATATGAAATGTTCATACGGAATAGTAACAGAACGAGGGGACATGGGTGGAAGGTGGAAACTCAGATGAGTCACAGAGATGTTAGGAAGTTTTTATTTTAGGAACTGAATAAGAAATTCCGGGAAGTCTTCATAGTAGAGCAAGGGGAAGTCCCCAGAGATAAGAGAGAATATCTAACCGAACACCATTAGAGGAGTTTGTGATTACCAGTGGGGAGGTGAGGAAGCATCTGCTAGAGTTGGAAGTGACAAAGGCTATAGGCCCGGATGAAATCTCACCTTGGATACTGAAGGAAGGAGCAGAAGCACTGTGCCTGCCATTCTCCATGGTGTATAACAAATCACTGGAAACAGGGGAACTGCCAGAAATTTGGAAGGCAGCTAATGTAGTTCCAATATACAAGAAAGGGGATAGGCAGGAGGCACTGAACTACAGGCCAGTGTCCTGAAGGCTTGTCCTGCGCAACGCCTCCATGCAGGCCTGGAGAGGGTCAAGAGGGACAGTGATGACCCAGCACGGACGAAGCCCACCCGGCAACCACTTGTACTTAGGATATGTACTAACTGGCTGACTGACGAGGCTTTGCCACCCTCTACCCTACCTTCCATGAGAAGCCTAGAATTGCTTCACCTACCTTCCTTGACGACTCCAGCTCAAGGTGTCATGCAAACTGCACCTACTATCAAGAAGAAGGACTATTGTACTTAGTATACCTCAGTTTCCCACAGACTGCTGTTCGTTTTCTGTTGCTATCGTCTTTCATTGAATCAAAGAAAACTATATTTCGTTTCATATTTTAGCAATAACTAAATCATATTTTATTTTATAGGAAAAGCTGATGAATGAGACGAACTTGTGTAAACTGTACTTAAGATGTGCCTTTTAGTTGCGTTTAATGTGTGTTGATTTTAGTTGACTTGACGAGAGGGACGATGGCTTCAGGATGCTTGTTATTATAGGTCATCTGACTCTGTTATGCATCTCGTTTTCTTTGAGGGGATCCGAAAATAATGATAATTCTTCTTCTTCTAGATAATATAGAGCCCGGAATGAGTACCTCAGTGTGAAGAAAGAAACAGAGAAAATATGAAAATAACATCGGGGGTAAAACCCAGACCCAACCCAAACTGCTCCGAACTGCACATCAGGAGGCAAACAACATTGGAGAAACAGATGATGAAACTGAGAAAAGGGAAGAACAGATACACAGAGAAGGGAGGTTAGGCCTAGGGAGGTTAGTTAAGATAGTTTAGTTTGTCAAAGCAACACCAGTAAAAAATTGTTTATCGGGTTGGCCAACTCAAAGCGTGCAGAAGCACTTAGTGTGCCACTCTCTATGGTATATAACAGATCACAAGAAACAGGAGACCTACCAGAATGTTGGAAGACAGCTAATATAGTCTCCAATATACAAAAAAGGTGACAGGCAGAAGACATTGAACTACAGGCCGGTGTGTCTAACCAGTATACCATGCAAGGTGATGGAGAAGATTGTGAGTAAAAACCTCGTAGAACATCCTGAGAGAAGGAGCTTTGTAACACACCACCAGCATGGGTGTCAGGGATGGTATATAGTGCCTCACACTTTTAATAAAATTCTATGACCAGGCGTTGCCATTCCATTGGAGACTTTCGTAGCCGTGGAGGAGGAGGGACCTGCTGCTTGGGTGACAGCTTCTCCTCCATATCAACCTACCCTGGCTTTGCGCCCTGGAGAGGCCACTCCAGACCGACAACCAGAACGCAACCCCCATAGTCTCCTGAGACTGATGGATGCCTACTACTGCCTTCTATGACCAGGCAACAAAAATTAGGCAAGAAAGAGAAGGTTGGGCACACAGCATTTTCTTGACTGTTAGAAAGCCTTTGATACTGTACCCCAAAAAGAGATTGGTACAGAAGTTGGAGACACAGTACGAATAACAGTTAAAGTGTTCCAGTGGGTAATGGAGTATTTAAGGAACAGAAAATTGTCAAGAATAGTATCAAGAGTCGTTGGCTTCATCATGCCAGTTATACACAGGGGCCTCAGTTCCCGGTCCCGCCTCTCTTTGCTACCATGAAGGAATTGTACATTATTATTTATAAATATTCGACGAAATTCGCGTATACGTCAGTATCCGCGACCCATGCCAGGTTTCAAGGCCTAAGACGATTCTGACCGTACTGGACCTCGTCCTCGAGCTGACCTCCTCCCGAGACTTCTCTTAGAGGTGCCAGACCGGACCGTGAGACATCAGACTCAAGGTGAGCTTTATAGTACTTGAAACCCTATCCGGCTCTTGGAGGCGTCGCCAGAACCCTCCATATGGCGCACACCGCTACTGCAGCAGGATGCAGCCCTCAACAGTTGCCAGCTCTTGGGTAAATAGATTTCGCTATATAGATGAACAATAACATCAGGTGAAAGGAAACGGGATCAACCTTTTCTGTTCAGCTGCGGGATTCGAACCCGTTAATTAAGGTCGGTCATATTTTAAGCAGTGTACGCTAATAGGCCCACTTTCATTTTAAACTACAACAGAAAACGGCGCCTAAAAAGAACGAGGCTGGGGGGACTGAGTAAATATCATTAGCAGACTTGCTGGCATTGCGAATAATTCGGTGTGTATGTCTGTACTCACCTAGTTGTATTTAAGGGGGGGGAGGGTTGAGCTCCGGCTCTTTGGTCCCGCCTCTCAACTATCAATCACCTGTGCATAGGTTCCTACTGGGCTCTATCTTATTTCATTTGAAACTAAATACCTAAAGTCACGTATTAGTGGCTTTAGGTATTATATGTACTATTGTATGTACTAGCTCTATACATATATCCAACATTATGTTTGTAAATCAACTAATTATGTACTTTCCCTGAATAAAAATTTATTTATTATTTAGTTATTATTATTTATAAACTGTGTATGGAGGTTATCTTGAGGTTATCTTGAGATGATTTCGGGGCTTTAGTGTCCCCGCGGCCCGGTCCTCGACCAGGCCTCCACCCCCAGGAAGCAGCTCGTGACAGCTGACTAACACCCAGGTACCTATTTTACTGCTAGGTAACAGGGGCATAGGGTGAAAGAAACTCTGTCCATTGTTTCTCGCCGGCGCCTGGGATCGAACCCAGGACCACAGGATCACAAGTCCAGTGTGCTGTCCGCTCGGCCGACCGGCTCCCTCAATAGAGAGCCCAATAGGAGAGCCCAATAGGCTCAGGAATCTGTACACCTGTTGATTGACGGTTGAGAGGCGGGACCAAAGAGCCAGAGCTCAACCCCCGCAAGCACAACTAGGTGAGTACAGGATTTATGTTGGCGGCTGACGCTGCTCCGTGATGAGTGGGTGCCATGAGTGGGTGCCATGAGGGGGGTGCCATGAGGGGGGGGGTGCCATGAGGTACACCCCTCACTCATGTTTAGGAACATCCCTCTCTCGCCTGGCAACAGTCACATAAATCCATCCCTTACTCATGAACAGAGACGTAACCTCCTCTCTGGCTTAGGAACAGAGACCTAAATCAGTTTCTAGCTCAGGAACGCTGACGGAAAAATTCTTCTCCCGCTCATAAATAATCTCACAGATTGCCTTGTACACTTTTTCTATCAAGCTATTTGATCCCTTAGAGTAAGATTCCTGTAGGACGAAGATAAGAAGGTGGAGGAGTTAGAGAGAGTGCGGCGGGAGGCGTCATAGAGGCAGGGGCCTCCGGGAGGTGTAGCGCGGGAACACACACACGGAGGATTGAGAGCAGGGGAATGGGACTGGAACCTGCCTTCACACGGGCCAGCAAGCCTATTGCAGCGCTCCTCTCACGTCTCCCGTTGTGCTTGACAGGATCATGATTCATCGAGCATTTACACTTACGAAACCTATGTATCTTGCTTCAATCATGGCGTCTTTGTTTACTTAAACAGCTTACGAGCTTCGACACTTCACAACCCAAGGTTATTATTGTCACAGGCAACATCATAGCACTCTGAAGCTTATATACTGTTGAATAAATGTAAAAAATAAAGCTTCCATGATTGAAGAAAGCTGTACAGGTTGTGCAGGTGCTTGGGTGAATGCTTGACGAAGCCTGGCACAGGTGTGTGTGTCACCTGGAGGAAGCTAGAGACATTCCCCCCACGACCCGACAGCATGCCATTATACCATGCTTGTGTGATGAATAAAACATGTTCACTCTCCTAGATGGATCTTTATTTCTTTAAGTTTTACAAACCACGATTCACAGTATGTACATAATGGGGTGCAGAGGATGGTGATGCGGTGATGGTGATGTGGTGGTGACGCGAACATGATGGGGGTGATGGTGATAGATGACGTGGTGATGATGTGATGATCATTGATGATGCAAGATGGCCACTTTCTCCAGCGTCGTGAGTATGAACACATTCTATATATATACATGGCATACCTCAGACCTTACTCAATACACTTAGCATTTTGTATAAAACTCTACTTACCTTTAGCAATACACTTAAACTTATACAATAAAATATAAAACAGTTAAATGTTGAAACATCGTGAAATTCGAGAGAGAGTCTGGATTAGACGCAACAATTTTGTATGCCTAACAATTTGTATATCAAATTTTGTGTGAAAAAGAGCTATTTCCTGCAAGCGGTGTTTATTGTGTGTGTGTGTGTGTGTGTGTGTGTGTGTGTGTGTGTGTGTGTGTGTGTGTGTGTGTGTGTGTGTGTGTGTGTGTGTGTGTGTGTGTGTGTGTGTGTGTGTGTGTGTGTGTGTGTGTGTCTTGTGAGGGAGAAAGTCTATTAAAATACATCAAATTAATGAGTTATAGATATCATCCCAACCTGATAAATTTTCTTTAAATAACAAAGTAGTTGTAGTTGTTTTAGATTCAGCACCTGGGAACAAAAGTTGCAAGTAGCACGGTCAATGGTGAGCCCGTAGTGGACTTTTACACAAAAATAACAACAAATAACCGTTGTTACTATAGTAATAATCCGAACACTGAACCTGTGGAGACTCATTATATTACGTCTGTGTCCGGTGGAGTGAGTCGATATAAGGAAACACAGCACACCACATCATGTGCCAGTGGACACCACATGATGTGCCAGTGGACACCACATGATGTGCCAGTGGACACCACATGATGTGCCAGTGGACACCACATGCTGTGCCAGTGGGCACCACATCATGTGCCAGTGGACACCACATGCTGTGCCAGTGGACACCACATGCTGTGCCAGTGGACACCACATGATGTGCCAGTGGACACCACATGCTGTGCCAGTGGACACCACATGATGTGCCAGTGGACACCACATCATGTGCCAGTGGGCACCACATCATGTGCCAGTGGACACCACATCATGTGCCAGTGGACACCACATGCTGTGCCAGTGGACACCACATGATGTGCCAGTGGGCACCACATCATGTGCCAGTGGGCACCACATCATGTGCCAGTGGACACCACATCATGTGCCAGTGGACACCACATGCTGTGCCAGTGGACACCACATGATGTGCCAGTGGGCACCACATCATGTGCCAGTGGGCACCACATCATGTGCCAGTGGACACCACATCATGTGCCAGTGTACACCACATGCTGTGCCAGTGGACACCACATGCTGTGCCAGTGGACACCACATCATGTGCCAGTGGACACCACATGCTGTGCCAGTGGACACCACATGATGTGCCAGTGTACACCACATCATGTGCCAGTGGACACCACATCATGTGCCAGTGGACACCACATGATGTGCCAGTGGACACCACATGATGTGCCAGTGGACACCACATGCTGTGCCAGTGGACACCACATGATGTGCCAGTGGACACCACATGATGTGCCAGTGGACACCACATCATGTGCCAGTGGACACCACATGCTGTGCCAGTGGGCACCACATCATGTGCCAGTGGACACCACATCATGTGCCAGTGGACACCACATGCTGTGCCAGTGGACACCACATGCTGTGCCAGTGGACACCACGTCATGTGCCAGTGGACACCACATGCTGTGCCAGTGGGCACCACATCATGTGCCAGTGGACACCACATCATGTGCCAGTGGGCACCACATCATGTGCCAGTGGACACCACATCATGTGCCAGTGGACACCACATCATGTGCCAGTGGACACCACATCATGTGCCAGTGGGCACCACATCATGTGCCAGTGGGCACCACATCATGTGCCAGTGGACACCACATCATGTGCCAGTGTACACCACATGCTGTGCCAGTGGACACCACATGCTGTGCCAGTGGACACCACATCATGTGCCAGTGGACACCACATGCTGTGCCAGTGGACACCACATGATGTGCCAGTGTACACCACATCATGTGCCAGTGGACACCACATCATGTGCCAGTGGACACCACATGATGTGCCAGTGGACACCACATGATGTGCCAGTGGACACCACATGCTGTGCCAGTGGACACCACATGATGTGCCAGTGGACACCACATGATGTGCCAGTGGACACCACATCATGTGCCAGTGGACACCACATGCTGTGCCAGTGGGCACCACATCATGTGCCAGTGGACACCACATCATGTGCCAGTGGACACCACATGCTGTGCCAGTGGACACCACATGCTGTGCCAGTGGACACCACATCATGTGCCAGTGGACACCACATGCTGTGCCAGTGGGCACCACATCATGTGCCAGTGGACACCACATCATGTGCCAGTGGACACCACATCATGTGCCAGTGGACACCACATCATGTGCCAGTGGACACCACATCATGTGCCAGTGGACACCACATCATGTGCCAGTGGACACCACATGATGTGCCAGTGGACACCACATGCTGTGCCAGTGGACACCACATCATGTGCCAGTGGACACCACATGCTGTGCCAGTGGACACTACATGATGTGCCAGTGGACACCACATGCTGTGCCAGTGGACACCACATCATGTGCCAGTGGACACCACATGCTGTGCCAGTGGACACCACATGCTGTGCCAGTGGACACCACATGCTGTGCCAGTGGACATCACATCATGTGCCAGTGGACACCACATCATGTGCCAGTGGACACCACATGCTGTGCCAGTGGACACCACATGCTGTGCCAGTGGACACCACATCATGTGCCAGTGGACACCACATGCTGTGCCAGTGGACACTACATGATGTGCCAGTGGACACCACATGCTGTGCCAGTGGACACCACATCATGTGCCAGTGGACACTACATGATGTGCCAGTGGACACCACATGCTGTGCCAGTGGACACCACATCATGTGCCAGTGGACACCACATGCTGTGCCAGTGGACACTACATGATGTGCCAGTGGACACCACATGCTGTGCCAGTGGACACCACATCATGTGCCAGTGGACACCACATGATGTGCCAGTGGACACCACATGCTGTGCCAGTGGACACCACATGCTGTGCCAGTGGACACCACATGCTGTGCCAGTGGACACCACATGCTGTGCCAGTGGACACCACATGCTGTGCCAGTGGACACCACATCATGTGCCAGTGGACATCACATGATGTGTCAGTGGACACCACATGATGTGCCAGTGGACACCACATGCTGTGCCAGTGGACACCACATGCTGTGCCAGTGGGCACCACATGCTGTGCCAGTGGACATCACATCATGTGCCAGTGGACACCACATGATGTGCCAGTGGACACCACATGCTGTGCCAGTGGACATCACATCATGTGCCAGTGGACACCACATGATGTGCCAGTGGACACCACATGCTGTGCCAGTGGACATCACATCATGTGCCAGTGGACACCACATGATGTGCCAGTGGACACCACATGATGTGCCAGTGGACACCACATGATGTGCCAGATCACACAATTCTATAAACCTGCACCAAAGTTATATTTTATGCAAGTTTGCCCTTCAGGTATTGTCACGGTGGCTTGGAACCCTCGAACGCTCGCCCCTAAAAAATGGTTCCACTGACACCATACTGTACCGGGGACTTCCTTAAGCACCTACCCCAGCTAGCGTCACCACAGTGTCGGACTTACACTGGTCTCTATGGGTCTCTTCTCTCTCTCGCTGGAGTAAAATCATTGATTTACAAAAATCAGTTCCTCTACATTGTTACAGAAAACGGTGGGTGGAACGTAGAGCTTGAGCGATGTTGCCACAGACTTGGTGGCTCTTTACACGAAATAATAATACCTAACATTTAAGCTTATAATAACTGTGGGAATTTCAAGCTTTTCGAGACTGTTTACATGTTGATTCACGAGTGTTTGAGCTGATGTCTGTTGACGGCAGTGGTCGGCTTGAATGGTACAGAAATATTAATAAGATTCTTCATTGCTCTAAAAAAATATGCAGGTTTTCCTGTGCATATAATCTTTTTGTGCATATAAGCATTCTTTTTTAGGGAGGAGGAGCAGCCGCCGAACGCAAGGACATCCATCTACTAGATCTATTATTTGTCACAAATAAAAGTCTAGAAACCATTACTTATGTCTTGCCTGCTAGCGGAGGCGGTGTCTCACACATCCTCCGTCTCGTAGATCACATCTGCCCCCTCCCCCCCCCCCCACACGGAGGGTGTCGTATGGTGTGTGTCAAGCCCTGTGCTTGGCGAAGGCCACAAAGTGCCACCATCCAAACACCGAAGCACACGAACTAATTGTTTAAAATAAGTCTAAACATTGGTGTGCTTATGGTCACTCATGCCCTTAAGCCATTAGCGGGGGAAAAAATATATATATATCGCCTTTCCAAAACACCGAAGCGAAGATCCATTGCGATGCCGAGGTCTTAGACCCCGGTGGAGTGCTTGAAGGTGTCTGCGCGACTGATCTCTGAGAGTGACTGTCTGGAGGCTGCGCGCGCTGGCAGGGTCTTGTCGCTGTTGGTGAGGGCGTCGTTCAGGTACTGGGTCTCCTCCTCGTCGTAGTTGTCGAGGGGCGGGGCCGTGGCGTCGTGCGACCCCCACTTGCGGCGGTGTCGCAGGCTGCGTCTGCTTGCGGTCCTCTCCTCACACACCTGCGGAGGGAGGCCAGGTATATAGTGTGTAAGGGGCGACTCAGTGTAAGACTAAACAAATCACTCATGTAAATATATTTTTTGACATCAGCGGCATCATATTATATATACAATCGCTTCTCACATGCTTACCTTCTCTCCCTCTGTGCTTCCCTCTGCTTACCTTGTAAGTGAAGATGCCGCCGATGAGGCAGAAGAGAACCATGATGATGATCTGAGCGAGCGTGAGGCCCTCAGCGGTGAAGATGAACTGGTCCTCGTACACCTGCTTCTCCCACTCGATGTGGTCGTAGCGACCCTGCCGGATGAGCCAGGCGGCCAGGTAGTACACGTTGATGGCCACCACCGCGAACGACTTCATCAGCCATATCCAGGTGAGTGAAGGTTTGTGCTGTAGGGGAGAGACAGCTGCTTCAGAGGTTTGTAGAGTGTGTGTGTGTCTGTGTGTGTGTGTTTTATTATATAATTTATTTATTATACAACAGGGCTCCTTGATGTAGCCCTGTTGTTTTGCATTGTTACTCGCCTAGAAAGAGACGTTGTTGTCTTGCCTATATACTGAGATCTTTGGGGCTGACCATCCCCAAGTGGGCATGTGAAGGCATAGACGACGTTGGTTTCTTTCAAGGCGCTCTGTTTGGTGTCTGGAGAGGCACCATCACCAGAGAAATTTTAACAAGCAACACAGAAATTATCGATAGATACAGCGACAACAGGAGACTCGACATCAGCGAGACACATCAGAAAGTCAACACCAACGATCAACGGCCAATTAACACAATTACATTCTACCCACTTCAAGACCCCGAACCAACACAGAAGCAGGAAGAGAAAATACGCAATGTATCCATTGATTCGTGTTCTGAGTATATAAAAATATCTTTACCCAATGATTTATCCATTGGTTTGTGTTCTACCAGCTCGCCCAAAAGCAAATATAAGCATGAAACGGAGTACATAAAAAGTTGTCTTTGAAAATGTGAGAAGTCTCTTGCAAAACGCTTCTAGGCGTCAGACCATAAATGAAAATGTGAAAAGGAACTTTGGGGAGTTAATTTTTCAATTACCCTCGACAGTGAAGAAAAACGTAAGAAATATTGAGAAGATTCGTGTTAGAATCATTAATCTTACCATTTCGATCATATTAAACAATTATATATATATATATATATATATATATATATATATATATATATATATATATATATATATATATATATATATATATATATATATATAACCACGTGCACCGACCTCCACAAAGACACCAAAAATACCCCGTTATACGCCTGCGTCACACAAATGTTGCCACACACGCCACAGCCTCACCCCAACATGCGCACACAACTCATTACAGAGCTTTCTGGAGGTAATTTGTCGCTTCCTGCCTGAGAGATAAAGACCGAGCCACAGAGGCGCTACCGCCATGATCACTCCTCCCCCGGAGCCCCCCCCGAGCTACTCAACCCGGGGCCCTGTAGCCTACGATCCCCTTCTTCCCCCCTCATACTTCACTCCCCCCCCCCCTCTTATCTCTAGATACTCGCCACTGGGAGTAACCACACTGGGAATACTGTAGCAAGATCCGCTCACACAGATGTCTAAAGATGTAGTCGTATGAGGCCAAGTCGCCCACGACAAGGTAAACTACACACCCAGGGCTGACAGGTGGCTTCATGTCCCAATACTAAGTCCTCGCTTCTTGTAGGTTCCGAGTTCGATCCCCCTATAGTGTAGGTGGCTAGGCACCGTCCCTCGCATCCCAGCTCCTTGTCCCTCCCCCCATCTCGTCCAAGTGCTAGACAAGTGTTCATTTCTTCGTCCCAAGTGCTATACAGAGCTCTCTCCTGATAATTACCCGCCTTATGCAGGCGATGAGTCACAATAACGTGGCTGAAGTATGTTGACCAGACCCCATACTAGAAGTTGAAGGGACGACGACGTTTCGGTCCGTCCTGGACGATTCTCAAGTCGACCCGCCTTACCTTACCCGTAGAGCAGCCACACACCCGCCACTGACCTTCAGTAACCTGGTCAACAGCGTGGTGACCTCGTCCCCTCCACGGCGTCTCTGTGGTCACAGTATCAAGCCTCAGTGACCCGTGCGAGGGCTTCTGGAGTTGGCACTCCAGACATGAATATTAGTAATTATTTCTCGTGTCCTTCAGTACCGGCACTGCTAGAGTGCCACGACGCACCTGTTGCTGGCACTGCCTGAGTGCCACGACGCACCTGTTGCTGGCACTGCCTGAGTGCCACGACACACCTGTTGCTGGCACTGCCTGAGTGCCACGACACCTGTTGCTGGCACTATTCTCAGTGTTGGTACTGACACACACACATGGGCGGTGTGTGGCACGGTCGGAGTGCTGGCCACGGCGGTCATGGCACTCTTCCTGGTCACTGCTGTATAACGTTTTACGGGGCAGTACATGCAGTGTCCACTGTAACGGTGCTGTACATGCAGTGTCCACTGTAACGGTGCTGTACATGCAGTGTCCACTGTAACGGTGCTGTACATGCAGTGTCCACTGTAACGGTGCAGTACATGCAGTGTCCACTGTAACGGTGCTGTACATGCAGCGTCCACTGTAACGGTGCAGTACATGCAGTGTTCACTGTAACGGTGCTGTACATGCAGTGTCCACTGTAACGGTGCTGTACATGCAGTGTCCACTGTAACGGTGCAGTACATGCAGTGTCCACTGTAACGGTGCTGTACATGCAGTGTCCACTGTAACGGTGCTGTACATGCAGTGTCCACTGTAACGGTGCAGTACATGCAGTGTCCACTGTAACCAGGACGCAACGGAGGTTGGGAGATGTTCATGACGGCACGGTGTCCCAGTGTACTCACCTAATTGTGCTTGCGGGGGTTGAGCTCTGGCTCTTTGGTCCCGCCTCTCAACCGTCAATCAACTAATGTACAGGTTCCTGAGCCTACTGGGCTCTGTCATATCTACATTTGAAACTGTGTATGGAGTCAGCCTCCACCACACAGACTGGAGGCCCTCTGGGTGACTTACACACTCCACCACACACTCAGGAGAGGCCGGACGCCCGCCTGTAAGACACTAGGGGCGGCCAGACGCCCGCCTGTAAGACACTGGGGGCGGCCAGACGCCCGCCTGTAAGACACTGGGGGCGGCAGGAGGCCCCCCTGTAAGACACTGGGAGAGGCAGGACGCCCCCCTGTAAGACACTGGGAGAGGCAGGACGCCCCCCTGTAAGACACTGGGAGAGGCAGGACGCCCCCCTGTAAGACACTAGGGGCGGCAGGACGCCCCCCTGTAAGACACTGGGAGAGGCAGGACGCCCCCCTGTAAGACACTAGGGGCGGCAGGACGCCCCCCTGTAAGACACTAGGGGCGGCAGGACGCCCCCCTGTAAGACACTAGGGGCGGCAGGACGCCCCCCTGTAAGACACTAGGGGCGGCAGGACGCCCCCCTGTAAGACACTAGGGGCGGCAGGACGCCCCCCTGTAAGACACTAGGGGCGGCAGGACGCCCCCCTGTAAGACACTAGGGGCGGCAGGACGCCCCCCTGTAAGACACTAGGGGCGGCAGGACGCCCCCCTGTAAGACACTAGGGGCGGCAGGACGCCCCCTGTAAGACACTAGGAGCGGCAGGACGCCCCCTGTAAGACACTGGGAGAGGCCGGACGCCAGCCTGTAAGACACTGAGGGCAGCTTACCTTGACTAATGCGACGATGTAGATGATGGAGAAGAGGACGCAGGCGATGCCCTCTCCGATGCCGATGTACACACGCATCTCGAACACTGTGGGACAAGCAGGAGAGGGGGTTAGGGTAGTGGTGGTGGTGGTAGTGGTGGTGGTGGTGGTGGGGTCACTCTGTGTGTGGTGTGTGTGTGTGTGTGTGGTGTGTGTGTGTGTGGTGTGGGTGTGTGTGTGTGTGTGTGTGTGTGTGTGGTGTTTACATATATGGAACACGGTGTTTTGTGGATCAACCCACACCAACCCCTTTTTCACTCACACACACACACGCACACACACACACACACACACACACACACACACACACACACACACACACACACACACACACACTGAAAGATGTTACCACAAACTCCATCACTGGTGATAAATAGCAAAGCCAAACGGAACACACACATACAGATGAACATATTAATACATCAATACAATTACTTTCACGTAATTCTTTCGTCTAAAGATTTACAAACTGTCAGTCTTTGTTCACCAATATGTAGTCTTTGTATATATTGTAAACAATTTAACTTAAACGATGTAAAGAAAACCTGTTGGAGGATTTCCTATTTAACGTGAACGAAGGCTTGAGTGTGTGGCACTCACTCGCACTCAACACACAGACATCTGTCTACTTACGCTGAGTGAAAGACTCCCACTTGTCAAGTTACGTTAATATAAGGGGGCCAAATGTCATTCTTATCTCCACTCAACTCACAGAGTGAATGGGGGTCAATAAACGTACTCTGCACCAGTCAGTGAGGATCGCGGACATACACTCTGAACAAGGATTGGGGTGGATATAAATATTTCACCCAATCCTAGTGGATTCTGGGATTGGGTAGATATAAATAGAAGCTGCCTCGAATGGGCCAATAGGCCTTCTGCAGTTAGCTACATTCTTATGTTCTTCAGGATGTGTTTGTCTAACTTTGCGTCTTTATATCTGCGTGTTCCTGTGTCTGTCCCTCTCCCTCCCTCCCTCCCTCTCTCTCTCTCTCTCCCTCCCTCTCTCTCTCTCTCTCTCTCTCCTCTCTCTCTCTCTCCCCTCTCTCTCTCTCTCTCTCCACTTACTCTGCTCGTAGATGTAGATCTTGTTGTGGCACTTCTCGACGGGCAGGTTGAGGGGACACAGGTAGAAGGACTCTACAATGAACTGGTAGCCGTAGAAGCCCAGCGTGACCAGACCGTGAAGCTGTGGAAGACACACCCGTCAGTGGACAACTAGGACACTTGAGAGGCGGGACCAAACAGCCAGAGCTCAACCCCCGCATGTACAACTAGGTAAAGTACACATATCTAGTATACCAGGCATACAGGACCACGAGGATGAAGATTATATATATATATATATATATATATATATATATATATATATATATATATATATATATATATATATATATATATATATATATATAGGTCTTCCTCCACACAATACTGAGTGCTTGTGTTACTGGCACTTTGCATTTCTTTATATATATTGAATTCCATAAGTCCAAGATTGAAAGCGAGCTTGAGAAAGGATGCTTGAGAGAAAGAGAGAGAGGGATAGGGTGAGTGAGAGGGGGATAGGGAGAGAGAGAGAGAGAGGGATAGGGTGAGTGAGAGGGATAGAGAGAGTGAGAGAGAGAGGGGATAGGGGAGTGAGTGAGAGGGGGATAGGGGAGAGAGTGAGAGAGGGATAGAGAGAGAGAGAGAGAGAGAGAGAGAGAGAGAGAGAGAGAGAGAGAGAGAGAGAGAGAGAGAGAGAGAGAGAGAGAGAGAGAGAGAGAGATGCATTAAGAAGAAGAGTTATCACATGCGCACCATCACCAACTGTGCAGGAAGACTGACAGATATTCACCCGGGTTTAACAGTGCAATGATCGCTGGTGCAGTGATTAGTCACTGTGGAATATTCCCCCACCACTGCTGGCTTGGAGCTCTCTGATAATTGACTTGTTACTGATACGTAACGAGCGTGTAAGTTTAATTGACTGCGCAAAGTGAAATTGGTTAGCAAGTGTAGAGTGGCTACGTGAGTTTGTTGTGTGGCTGCCTGTTATTGGTGTGTGTTATTTTTTAGTGTAAACTCCTATAATTATCTACCAACACAGAGCTGCACAGATACACTCTCACACACACTAAATATGAGAGAAACAATAGGTACAAAGTCAGTACATTAGACAACCAACAGTTAGAAAACGGGGGTCCAAGAGCTAAAGCTCGATCTTGCAGGCACAAATAGACGGGCAGTTTTTGTCACTCTAGTGCACCTGTTCACCTAGCAGTAAATAGGTACCTGGGAGTTAGACAGCTGCTACAAGCTGCTTCCTGGGGATGTGCGCGCGCGCGTGTAAGAGAGATATATGTAGTAGACATAATAGAGGAAAAAATAAATTGGTTAGAAAGGCGGGGTGTAAGAGCTAATAGCTCGATTCTGCAGATACAAATAGTAAATACACACACATACAAAAGTTGGAAAAGCAGGCAGGAGTATAAGTTAAGGTTCTCCAGTGGATAAAGGAGAATCTAAGCAACAGGAAACTGTGAGTGACAGTTACAGCCCAGCTCCTGAGCCAGGTAAGTCCCCTACGGGCTCACCATAGCCCGTGCTACTTGGATCTTTTTGTTCTCATTAGCTGAATCTAAAACAACAACAGCGAGTGACTGTGAGGTGGGGGGGGGGAAGACTTCAGAGTGGCGAGATGTCACCAGCGGAGTCCCACAGGGCTCTGTACTTGGACGCATCCTGTTTCTGATATAAGTAAACGACCTTCCAGAGGGTATAGACTCGTTCCTATCAATGTTAGCTGATAATGCAAAAATTATGAGGGGAATCAAGACAGATGAAGATAGACAGAGACTACAGAATGACCTGGACAAATTGGAGGAATGGTTTAAAAAATGGCTACTAAAGTTTAACTTAGGAAAGTGTAAAGTAATGAAATTTGGCGAAGGGAGCAGGAAGCTGAACTCATGATACCATCTGGGAGGTGAAATCTTGCAAGAGTCAAATAGAAAGATCTGGGGGTTGATATCACACCGAACCTGTCCCCAGAGGCCCACCACAAAAGGATATCATCAGCGGCATATGCTAGACTGGCCAACATAAGAACTGCCATTAGAAACTTGTGTAAGGAATCGTTCAATACCTTGTATACCACTTATGTCAGACCAATCCTGGAGTATGCAGCTCCAGCCTGGAGTCCATACCTAGTTAAACACAAGACAAAATTAGGGAAGATTCAGAGGAATGCCACCAGACTGGTCCCGGAACTGAGAGGTATGAGCTACGAGGAAAGGTTATGGAAGCTAAACCTCACGTCCCTGGAAGACAGAAGAGTAAGGAACATAACACCTACAAAATTCTTAGGGGATATTAACAGGGTGGACAAAGACAAGCTATTTAGCACGGGTGGGACACGAACAAGGGGACACAGGTGGAAACTTATCACTCAAATGAGCCACAGAGCCATTACAAAGAACTTTTTCCGTGTCAGAGTAGTTAACAGATGGAATGCATTAAGCAGTGATGTGGTGGAGGCTGACTCCATACACAGTTTCAAGTGTAGATATGATAGAGCCCAGTAGGCTCAGGAACCTGTACACCAGTTGATTGACAGTTGAGAGGCGGGACCAAAGAGCCAGAGCTCAACCCCCGCAAGCATAATGAGTACACACACACACACACACACACTCGCAACACTCACCCACACACACATACATAGACGCTAAACCTACCGCCGCCCCCACACATACACGCAACACCCACACACACACACACACACACACACACCACACCACACACAACACCCACACACACACACACACACATAACACCCACACACACACACACACACAACACCCCACCCACACACACACCCACAACACCCACCCACACACACACACACAACACCCACCCACACACACACACACAACACCCACCCACACAACACACACACACACACACCCACCCACACACAACACATTGTACAATATATCTCATATAAAGGAGCTTGACATAACTAAACTTTTTCATTCACAAGGAATTACCTCCTTAAGCCACTTTAGCGTCATACAGAGAGTCAAGAACATGTGAGGGAGCCACTGCGCAACCTGCTCACATGCGGGACACTCACCTAATCTCACTCAAGTGCAAACAATACGAGTCAGATGGAACCACTAAAATATAGGACCTTTTATAGAAGGTATCTAAGAGCATAGAGCACACGAGAGAGAGAGAGAGAGAGAGAGAGAGAGAGAGAGAGAGAGAGAGAGAGAGAGAGAGAGAGAGAGAGAGAGAGAGAGAGAGAGAGAGAGAGAGAGAGAGAGAGAGAGAGAGAGAGAGAGAGAGAGAGAGAGAATAAGAGATACAAAACCCACGTTACTTACAATGTCAATAATGGCCAATAAGACCCCACAGACAACGACAGACTTTAGGGTACACGCCATCCTCGTTGCCCTTCTCTCTTCTCTGGTGAATGCTCGCTGCTTCGCCCTCTCTCTCTATTTTATTTCTCCCTCTGTTGCGTTATCTCTTCCTTCCCGCTTCGTTCCCTCCTCCTCCTGTTCCTTCAGTGAGGCAGCTGGCGGGCTCGAGGTCCTGGGAAGGCGAAGGGAAGACAATTGAGTGAAATGTTTGAGAAAGTGAAGCTCTGAAGCACCTTGCTTGGGGCGACCTTCAAGCGGTTCAGGCGGCAGCCTGGGAAGAAAAGAATTAATTCTTATGCTTAGGGATGCCTTCTCGCCGTGCCCAGTGGCAGGGGGGTTGGTGCCCCCTGAAGCTACATAAACACCCTATACCCCCCCCCCCTCGAAGTGGCAAGGGGGAGTTAGGGCACAACATAACACAACAGGTCCGCCAGAGGAAGTTAAAACAGGTTACGGATATGGAAGGAAAAATAAATTTGTAAATGAAAGCGATTCAATATTAGTAATAATATCGTGTATGTGGGTTACCTACTCTGGTGAAGGTAACCCACATAAACTCTGGTGTAGGTAACAGTTCTCCACTAAACTCTCCCTTCACATACACAATTAAATCAGAGTAACGTGTTATAGGGGTGACAAAACCTGTGACTTTTCTCACCCATATATATAGTTATCGGAATTTTCTTGTCCATGTCGAACTCTGTAAATATTATCAGAACATTGGGACACTTGTTGACACACGGACACTATACCCAAGACTTACTAGATAAGGCAACAATTATGTATTATACATGGGATGTAATTAACGCTTGAGAATTCCCAGCACTCCAGCAGGCGTCTGCGGTTGAGTGCTCAGTAGCCCGCTACACTGTAAATATATATATGGTCTCACAGATCTCTAACCCTGTGCCATGGAGGACAATAAATTGTATATATGCTGGTTAGCAATATGTAAATATATGACCGTATCTGTAGTAGAAAAAACTAATTAAAGACAGCAACAAAAGGAGGGCCTCTCTCCGGGCCAGACAACATTCACTACGCCTCGCCTCGTCTTGAGTGACAGGAAAGTGTCTTGACTGTTGCCTCCAACTTCCCCAGGAAGTCTAAACACAACGATGATAAACTCTAGAATAGACTTAACTGTGTGTGTAGGGAGGCAGGCCAGCGGGCAGGGGAACACAATAGACGAATTGCGTAGTGAACTTTAAAAGCTTATAGGAACAGAGAACACACGAAGAACACCCCCGTGGAGGGAGGAAAGTAGACAGAGAATGAAGCACTTATCACACTTACAGATGCACTTAAGTACAAAGCTAAACAAAAACAAAGAACAATAAAATACGGACTTTGAGACTTCGAGGGGCCGAAGTAAAGAGAACATAGCAACTGTTGTGAATGGTAGCCACCAAGGCCAGGCGCGGGAACACAGAAGGTGCGGGAGACGCCGAGGCTACACGATGATGTGCCGCACCTTGCTGGCAGGCCGGGAGGGGGAGGGTGGGCGGCTGTGCTCGGCTATGCGGGTGGGCGGGGAGGGCCTCTTGCACCGTTGGGTCTCCTAACATGGTGCATGCCGCGGCGAGGCGCTCACCAATGTTGTTCAGACCACGCCGCTAAGGTGTGGGTGTGTGTGCGTGCATGTGAGTTTGCGTGCGCATGACTGATGGACCATGAGCTTGTTCTCAACCATAACTGCTTGGCTGGTGGCCCACGACGTGGCTCTCTATGCATGGTTCTCCCCTGGGGGGAAACATTAAGCCAATGGACGGCCAACACTCCCGTCACTTTACACTGGGTACGGCGCCATTCCCCGCCGCACAGGTGCAGGGGGCCGCTGCTGTTCTCTCCTCGTCTCCTGTGCCCTGTGATGTCATCACGGCGATGACATCACGGCGCCAAGTCAAATTTATATCACTTCTAAATTTATTAAACCCGTCATTCATGGCCGCGCTGGGAACCTATGGACTGAGTGAGTGAATGAAGGAGCGAGAATTTGTGGGACAATGCGAGCCCCACAGCGCTCTGGGTCCCATACCGTCCTCAGGCTAGGGTCCCATACCGTCCTCAGGCTAGGGGTCCCATACCATTCTCAGGCTAGGGGTCCCATACCGTCCTCAGGCTCGGGTCCCTCCAAACTGCGCTTCAATACCCCCAAAGTCGTATTCATTAATTATCTGTGTATTCTATATAGATATTTTCTCACGTGTAAATTGATATTATTGTATATTAGAATTGTGTGTATATTTAGGTTTGGTGTTTAGGTTCTGTTGGTAATTTGTACTTCAAGCTATCTCCAGGCCAGGCTCGTTAAAGCTGCGGCCGTCTTCAAAGACACATTTACACATGTTAAAATATTGTGTATATAGAATAGGTTTGTTCTCATAGGTAAATCAATATTATACATCCAAGTTCCGTGTTTGGTAAGATTAAGTTTGGTGTTTAAGTACTTTGGGCGAATATTTGTATTTTTCAGTACGTGGTGAAGGATTTACAGTGTTGTGGTTCGACCAGAGGTTGTTAGCGAAGCACTTGTTCCAGGATACTTCGATGTCATCATCTGTGAGCGTGTGTAAACCGTGCTTCATTACCCAGTTTCATTCAGGGGGCCTGACAGCTGAGTAGACAGCGCACGGGATTCGTAGTCCTGAGGTTCCGGATTCGATCCCCGGTGGAGGCGGAAACAAATGGGCAGAGTTTCTTTCACCCTGGTGCTCCTGTTCACCTAGCAGTAAATAGGTACCTGGGGGAGTTAGAGAGGTGCTACGGGCCGCTTCCTGGGGCCGTGTTGTTGGTTGTTGAGAGGTCGGCGGCCGCTGTGACCAGCCCAGCCTGAGGACAGGTTGGTGACCCGCCCTGGGGTACACTCCCCTCCTGCCCCCTCCCCTCAGCCCCCACCCCTCCTTCCCCCCCTCACCCCCACCCCTCCTTTCCCCCCTCACCCGGACCTCTCCTCCCCCCTACACCCCCACCCATCACCCCATCTTCACATGGTAATTAGATTTGACACTATCCCTAAGAAAATTATATTCTGGTTGAGCTTAGCTATAGTCGCTGTCAACGAGGTGTCTAACGAGAGACTTAAGAATAACTGGGTCCTCTGTTGACAAATTAGAAACCAGGATTAAGAAAAAAAAAGAGGGGGGGGGGATGCAATGGTTCTAAATTTTGAGTCGAGAAAATACAAAATAATAGCGAGGAGGATTTTTTTTTTTTAGAATTGGTGATAAGGATGTTTTGGGATAAAATAAAGGAGTACAATCCATTCACGTTGAAATAGGCTGGAAATTGACTTAATTGACATTGATGCTATTACTTAAATTGTTACGAAGCTTAGGGAAGCTTAGAGGCTGACTTAGAGGCTGACTTAGAGGCTGACTTAGATAATTACTTGTATACTGTGTTTATATATTCTTCACTTTAGAGCCTCCGGCCTTAAGGGCTAACCCGACCTCAAAAATAATAAACTATTTATTTATTAATTGTAGTAGTAAAGTGGCCAGTTATAACGTCGACAGATAATATACTTAATAACTGTGGTCGGCTCCAAGGTCAGATTAGTGTCTCACAAGTCAATACCAGTGAATATGGCCTGATGTTCTCACTACCACCACCACAACCACAACTACCACCATCACCACCTTCACAACTACCACCACCACTACCCACCCCAATTCGTCATCACGTGTACCAAAGAATCTGGCAGCTGTCAATCAACCTTCATCAAGGAAAATAAACGTCACTGGAGATGTCTCAAGTATCTGCACTTGTCACTTCTTTGGGTAAGAGACAGGAAAATAAAGGAGAGAGAGAGGGAGAGAGGACGTGGGGTGGGGGTGTGGGGTGGGGGTGTGGGGTGGGGGTGGGGGGGGGGGTGTGGGGGGGGGATAGCACAAGAAAGGGGAGGTTGTAGATCATCCTGACCACTAACCCCACATTAGATACTTTTCACACTAGTGGGGCTCCAGGATCTCATCCTTCACTTATTTTTCCAAGATGACCAATATTAAAAATATATATATTTGCAGTGCTATTGCAAGAATGCCACGCCACTGATCCTGGGCCTTAGCACTGCTAGCGACCCAAGCACTGCTGGCGACCCAAGCACTGCTAGCGACCCAAGCACTGCTGGCGACCCAAGCACTGCTAGCGACCCAAGCACTGCTGGCGACCCAAGCACTGTTAGCGACCCAAGCACTGCTGGCGACCCAAACACTGTTAGCGACCCAAGCACTGTTAGCGACCCAAGCACTGCTAGCGACCCAAGCACTCTTCACACAGAAATCACTGTCTATCCAGGTCTTCGCGGCCCTCTTCGTCGACACGGTATCCCAGGAGTGCTGAAGGGTAGTCTCCCGTCGCTGGCGTCGTCGGGTACAACACGCGCTCTGGCGCCGCTTCGCAGACGGGTTCGAATCCATAATTAGCACTATTATCGTGTCGAAGGTGAGGAAGAAGGAGGAGGAGTGGCACTTACAGGCGGTGGTCGGGCGCGTGGGGCGTGCAGGAGCGTCCGTAAGGGAAGGTGTCTGGACCTGGACTGTGGCGGCGTGGCCCTCACTCCTCGCCTCGACGCCTCGTCCCTCGACGCCTGGTGAGTCACTTCGCCCCGCGGCACAGACCTGCTGGAAGCGTCACTCGCGCCACAACCCGCAAGTGGCGTTAAGGTTGACGTCTCCGTTGCTGGAGTGCACCGCAACAGGCCGTAGAGGGCGATGGCGTTCGGTATTGTCATCACCCGAGAGGCAGTGTCACGGCTGCGTATGTTTTCCCAGAGTTTGAGGGGAGGTGATGGGGTGGGGGGTGATGGGATGGGGGCTAGGAGGGGTGGGGAGCTAGGAGTGGTGGGTGTGATGGGATGGGGGCTAGGAGAGGTGGGGGGCTAGGAGGGGGAGGGGAGCAAGGAGGGGGAGGGTAGCTAGGAGGGGGAGGGGGGGCTAGGTGGGGTGTAGTTGTAGAGTGGTGAAAGGTCTGGCTGACGTTCATGGTCGCTGCATGTCGCCTACAACCACCTGTTGCTCAGTGGTTGTGGTTGTGCTCCATCCTCAACTTGCCCTTTCAACGTTCGATGATCGCGGGAAAAACACGAAAGAAAATTTTCCGGGTGAGAATGATTATAGCGGAGCTATTTATTTTCCTGTTACTGAATAAAGAATTTTCTGATTTTTCCTGGCTCAACGGATTATATTTACGTAAAGAATGCTTGTCCAATCACCTATCCCAAACCGTTTTTTATATGTCCACAAGATTTTTTAGGTTCGTTAGCCAGTCGCCAGCTCAATAGACGACCACGCATGTGGTCGAGTGCATGGGGGGAGTTGTGTAAATCCCTGGTAGGTGTCTCGGAGAGGCTACAGGATCCAGTAAGTACTGTAGAACTTCGGTTTCAACTCTTTTGACCATATAGCTCAGTCGATTAAGGCAGCGTCTGGGATGATCTCGGACGTAGGTTCGAATCCTCGTCACGGCCCTTGTGGATTTGACCACGCATGCGTATAGTGGATCTTCCAGAAACCGTCGTTAGTTCAACAGTAAAACAGGGCGTTTAACTTGCCATTTTCGTTTATATAGCTGGCTCTTCGTTGGCCTCAGGTCTTTATGGCGTTTAGTAAGAGCTTTCCACCTGATGTTGCAAACGATTATGGCGTAAAAATACCTTTTGAATCTTTTTCTTGTGTGTTATTAACCGTGACGGGTTTAGTCCTCGTTTTTACCGATATAACACACACACACAACAGTCTTTAGGGAAAGGCGGGAGTAAGGAGAGGAGCAGTTAATAACGCCAATAATTATCACACCCACGCACGCACGCACAACACACGCACAACACACACACACACACACACACACACACACACACACACACACACACACACACACACACACACAGTGTTCAGAGTAGTTAACAGATGGAATGCATTAGGCAGTGATGTGGTGGAGGCTGACTCCATACACAGTTTCAAATGTAGATATGATAGAGCCCAGTAGGCTCAGGAACCTGTACACCAGTTGATTGACAGTTGAGAGGCGGGACCAAAGAGCCAGAGCTCAACCCCCGCAAACAGAACCAGGTGAGTAGACACACACAAGAGTAGACTATAAAACAGGAGACTACATAAAAGTAAGAGACCATCTGACAAGTGTTCAATGGGAGGACCTCAGAGGGAAGACGGTCCAGGAAACGGTGGACCAAGTAAAGCTGAGGTGCAAAGAGGCAGAAGAGAGATTCATGCCACCATTAAGGGAACACAAAGCGCGAGAACCTAACAACCCGTGGTGCGATAGACAGTGCCAAGAAGCAAAAACAAAAAGCCGGAGGGAGTGGAGGAAAGGTTGGGGCTAGGGAGCTATTGCTCAACCCTCTAAACACACCGCCCACAGACGCGGGACCAAAGAGCCAGAGCTCAACCCCCGCAAACACAACTAGGTGAGTACCTAGGTAAGTACACATATACGCACGATTTTTGTTTATAAATGTCTAGTAATTTAAAAGCCCCCCCCCCCCCCCCCCCCCCCCCCTTCAGAGAAAAGTTTGGCCTTGGAATATCTGAGAGTTAGAGAGGCTGTTTATCTGCTCCTTTGTGTAGCTCTGAGTAACTTAGCGAAGGTCAGTACTGCGTCTCTGTCTATCAACAATGATGTCGTCTTAAAAGTTTGCTAGCCATTTGAACCTGTCGATGAAATGATCAAGTGCATTTTCCTGTGGTTCATTCTTCATGTCTCCTCACATTCATGTCGCTGTATGTCTAGTTTATATCTAACACCTTTCTGCTGTTGTAAGTGTTAAACATGCCATTCGTATCTACTTCGGCAGTGCCCCTAAAAATCTTGTATATCGCGATCATGTGTCCTCTTCCCCTTCTTTTATGATGTAGGGGAGTCCTCAGGGTTCTGAAACTAGTCTTGTATTGTGTCCCAGGACTGTCGGAGCCGCGGCCGCCCGCTCCAGCACGGCTGTAACGGAGGCGGCTTACAGGAGACTGTAACAACACCGTCTTCAAGTTCCTGAAAGTCACTCAAGGCTAAGCTTGGCAGGTGTCGAGGGGGAGAGTCTGGAGACGTGTGGCCCTCAAGGCCGAGCTCGGACAGGTCTGTGTGACCCTCAAGGCCGAGCTCGGCCTGGTCTGTGTGGCCCTCAAGGCCGAGCTCGGCCTAGTTTATCTTCTCTGGGTCCTGAAGTCCCCGATCATTACCGCCCCGCGTGCTTGACTTGTGGTCGTGTTGGTTCCTTCCCACAATCGCATTAGCTGGGATTTACTTATCCTGGAAACGAACCACCATACTTCACGTATTTTTTTCTTATAGGTACGCATCATCTCGGAACATGGAGAAGATGTTTCCTTGCCTGGCCAGATCACGTACTGCGTCTTGTGATGCTCTGTGTCCCACTCTTCCTCGTCGTCGTCCTCTCACTATTGCTCTTTGCTTCCGGTTTGACATGTTCCCCAACACTCAGGGGAGCTTATTGCTCAACCCGTTCTCGCAAATTTAATAAGTCAATATTGACTTATTAAATATGTGCATAGGTGACATTAACATAATAGATACCCTTAAAAGATTCATAGAAAACACCGACCTTACCTAACCTACTTAGTATGTTAAGATAAGCATCTTATTGCTTCGTAATTACAATTATTACCTAACCTATAATAGGTATAGGTTAAGTAATAATTGTAATTACGAAGCAATAAGATGCTTATCTTAAGATACTAACAAGGTTAGGTAAGGTCGGTGTTTTCTATGAATCTTTTTAAGGGTATCTATTATGTTTAGTATATCACCTATGCACGTAGTTGATAAGTCAATATTGACTTTACGAATTTGCGAGAACGGGTTGTATTGCTCGTGGTTGATTAATAAGCCGCTTGTGCAGCAGTATCAACTGCTTTCAGGCTGTCTTGAAAGATGCAGTCAACCTATAGTTTGAGATTAAGGCTTTATCAACCGTTGTTGCGTCTTAAAGGTGGTCAAAATAGCTTCTGACCAACCAGCAAATATAGTTTAAGTATAAATAAAATCTCCAGGTCTAAATGTATATACACCGAGAAAAGCAATACATCTCTTGATGTATATACCTCAATGAATGATTCTGAATGATTCCTTACACAGGTTCCTGAACGCTGTTCTGATGTTAGCCAGCCTCGCATATGCCGCAGACGTTATTCTTTTCATGTGAGCTTCAGGAGACAGGTTTGGTGTGATATCAACTCCTAGATCTTTCTCTATGCCAAGGGGGAGACTATGCCAGGAGGGAGACTATACCAGGAGGGAGACTATGCCAGGAGGGAGACTATGCCAGGAGGGAGACTATACCAGGAGGGAGACTATACCAGGAGGGAGACTATGCCAGGAGGGAGACTATGCCAGGAGGGAGACTATACCAGGAGGGAGACTATGCCAGGAGGGAGACTATACCAGGAGGGAGACTATGCCAGGAGGGAGACTATGCCAGGGAACAATGAGAATAACTCAGAAAACACGTTAACTAATCATACATATTCCCTGAAGCGTGTAACCGCCACTACCGGCGCGCCAGCCTCCATACCCCAACATATCGTACGGCCGCTATGATATCGGTAAGATAACCAGCAGTTGACTGACTACTCCCAAGGACATCTTTGTCGAGGAAATGCCACCGTCTTAGGATACTACCGGAAGCGGTGACTAATGAACTTAATATCCTAGCTTGGTGTCAGGTGGGTGACGCAGAAGCGCCCGCAGCCCTGGTGATGTCAACTGGATATTAAGGAGTTATCCAAGAGGAGTGAGATGCTCTCATATATATCCTTATATATCCATTCCTACGTTTCCTTGCGTGGAATGCGATATCGGGATATCACTAGCATACATGTGTGTATGTTGTGTGTTTACAACATGTTGTTTGTGAATGAAGTGACGCTGTAGTAGTAGCAGTAGTGTAGCCAAGGTCGTGTGTGGCCGCGTCCACTCCGGGACAGTACTGCCAGCATCAGCGCGCCTCCTCTCCCTCTCCCGCTCTCAGTTATCTTCAGATATCTTCTGATCTTCAGTTATCTCCACCGCAGCTTCCCGAGGGAGAGATCTGTAAACACACACACAAGCCACACCGAGCAGCCATGGCAATTGAACGTTTGAGAGAATTATAATTAAACCAAAGGTGGAACTTGATCCAACTTTTGCAAGACGTCGGTTGCAACGTGTGGCAATAATTTTCGTGGAATGGCGCGATGTTTATTCTCATTTTCAGTGACTCAACATCCCTACTGGGGCACCTGGGTGGTGACGTCACCCGCCCCGGAAGCAAGGGGGTCCTGTCAGTACGTGGCTGGCGTCGGAATTGGGGGACCTGGACGCGATCTGTTTTGAAAATCACGGCAATATAGCCTGTGATTTACGGCTGTGGGGTCCCTACGCCACCCGTCCGGGGCCCTCGACCCCTACACCCGTCGGGCCCCAAGCTGAGAGGAGGACGGTTGACGAGGGCGTCCAACACGTACTGGGAGGGTCGTTGGTACTGTGTGTAGTTTACAACCAGGCCACGTCGGGCGGGGCCCCGGGCCAGCGGTGGTCGGCAGGAGGCCAACGGTCACTCGCCCTCACCCCTGTACACT